CCGTTGTCCTTTACGGAATCAGCCAGGCTGCCAGCGCCATGGCCCAGTGTACGTGCACACCCATACCAAATTTTGCGACTGCTCCCTAACATCTCCTTCTAGCCGACGAGTTCAAGAACGACCCAAGGAACCGCTTCGTCAGCAAGGTCAAGGCTGCTGAGAAGCACTAGAGGACAATTGGAGGATGATGTGGGGTGGACTTGGGAAATAGACGTGCGGGCATAGAACTTTTGAGTTGGCACGAAACCTGTACATTGATATTATATGGAAAACCTTACCCAATGCCTGGGTTGTTGACTGGATTGTGTCGGCTTGTGTGATATGCTGATGATTTGTTGTATGAGGTGTATGTTTAATCGTTGAGCCGTAACGTAGCGAAACGAGACAGTATGCGGCTGTTATGTTCATTTTATACGTAGCAGTAGGATGCATCAAAGCAGACCATATCTCTAACATTCTGGATATATACATCCCACCATAAACCCCAGTGATATCAAACCAGTCCCTCAAAACTCCGAACTCTCCTGCCAGACCCTGAAATCATCTACAGCTCTTTAACAAGCTTCTTAACTAACTTCTTTTGCTCATCCATGGTTAACCCCTTGTCGTCCGTATCCTGGATAGCCTTTCCTACTGCCAGTGTCGTCTTTGGGTTCTTACTGTTAACCCAAACCTTTCCATTTCTGCCAACCGCAATTTCAAATGCCACTCCAGCGTCTCCCAGCTCTTCCAGCACGACAAGCTTTCCTTGCTCCGTAGGCTTCGGCATCATCAATCGCCTGGCCATGACGAGAGATACGGTGAAGAGCATGCCTCCGGTTAACAGTCCCAGGCCATCAGATTTCCCTGTCGACGAAGACACGCATTCCAGCTCTGGGTCCATGTGCTTGTTGGCCAGCGAGACACGCGCATAGATCAGAGAGCCCTGAACGAGCACTGGCCTGTTCTTCTTGGTTGCGCCCTCGAAAGAGAGCTGTGGTAGGGAGGCATATGAGGTGTAGTCTGTGATGCTGGCGTAATAAACGTCGACGGATGAATGGTGGACGGTGGCGATCACAAGGTCTCCAACGGTCGGAATATACTATAATCGTTAGTAACATGCCATTACCAGAACAAGGGAGAACTTACTCGGCCGCCATTAAACTCTACCCATATGGAATTCTTTCTGGTGTCTGTGCATAGCTGCCCCGCGACAACTGGAGTGATGGTATTCGGTGGGATGTGCCTTAGACCTGGGCCAAGCTTGATAGGTAGGGTTGGATGTGAAGGAAGTAATTCCGGATCAATATGATCGCCGGGTAATACGAAAGTCATGGCTGCCATCTGGAGGCCAGGAAGTTGGTGAATTTATTTATATGGCCGGCTTGACTTTCTGTACCAGGCCATTTTCAACCTTCAGCCTTGTCGTTTGGGCTGCGGTAAAATCCGCGCTAAGGAAATAATTTCACGAGGATCAGACCAAGAAGACGACGACCCCCACTCCCATCCAAGGCCCAGAATTCTTACTCTCCTCCAGAAAAGTGATCCCTTCTCATCTCCCACAAGAAATCACATATTTCTACAAGATGGCCGCTCAAGAAAACACCCAGGGCGCACAGCCCGAGAGACACGCCATTGGTATCTCCTTTGGAAACTCGAACAGCTCGATCGCCTACACCACAGTCGAGGATAAGGCAGAGGTTATTGCCAACGAGGATGGAGGTATGTAGTGTTTACGCCGCAGATATTTATGGTGCTAACTTACTGTACTAGATCGTCAAATCCCCTCCATCATCTCTTACATCGACGGAGAGGAGTACGTTGGTAACCAGGCCAAGTCGCAACTCATCCGCAACAAGGACAACACTGTCGCATATTTCAGAGATTTCGTCGGCCAAGAGTAAGTGATACGACCTAGGGATCGGAATGTGTATACTAACCCCTTGCCCAGCTTCAAGTCGATAGACCCAACCCACTCGCACGCATCTGCTCACCCAAAAGCCCACGAGAACACCGTCGCCTTCACCATCAAGGACAAGGCAGAGGGCGAGGCGTCCACCGTGACCGTCTCCGAGATCACCACCCGCCTCATCAAGCGTCTCGTCGACTCGGCCACCGACTTCACCGGAAAGAAGGTTGACTCTGCTGTCATCGCCGTCCCCACCAACTTCACCGAGGCCCAGAAGCAGGCTCTTACTGCTGCCGCCAAGGATGCCGGACTCGAGGTCCTCCAGCTGATCAACGAGCCCATCGCCGCCTTATTAGCATATGATGGTCGCCCAGATGCCAAGGTCTCCGACAAGATCGTCGTCGTTGCCGACTTTGGTGGAACCCGCTCGGACGTCACCGTCGTCGCCTCCAGAGGCGGCATGTACACCATCCTGGCCACGTCGCACGACTACGAGTTCGCCGGATGCCACCTCGACCAAGTGCTCATGGACCACTTCGCCAAGGAGTTCATCAAGTGGAACACCACCGACCCCCGCGCCGAGGCCCGCTCCCTCGCCAAGCTCAAGCTCGAGTCCGAGGCGGCCAAGAAGGCCCTCTCCATCGGTACCAACTCCAGCTTCAGCGTCGAGTCCCTCGCCGAGGGCATCGACTTCTCCTCCACCATCAACCGCCTGCGCTACGAGACCATCGGCCGCAAGGTCTTTGAGGGCTTCAACCGCCTCATCACCTCCACCATCGAGAAGGCCGACCTCGACGTCCTCGACATCGACCAGGTCATCATGTGCGGTGGTACCTCGCACACCCCCCGCATCGCCGCCAACTTCCGCAACATCTTCCCCGCCACCACCGAGATCCTCGCTCCATCCACCACCCCCACGGCCATCAACCCATCGGAGCTCGCCGCCCGCGGTGCCGCCCTCCAGGCCTCCCTCATCCAGGAGTACGACGCCACTGATATTGAGCAGTCGACCCACGCTGCCGTCACCACCGTCAAGCACCTCGCACACGCGCTTGGTGTTCTCGCCATCTCCGACGATTCCGCCCGCGGCGTCTTCGTCCCTGTCGTCCCTGCCGAGACTGCTGCGCCGGCTCGCCGCACCATCCACGTCGCTGCGCCAAAGGCTGGCGGTGATGTCCTGATCAAGGTTGTTGAGGGTGGCTCGCACATCAAGGTCACCCAGCCATTGCCAAAGGCAAAGTCGAACGGCGCCAAGGTCGCTGATGCGCACGAGGATGGATCTGAGGATGATGAGTCGTCTGAGGAGGAGGAGGAGGAGACCCGCGAGAAGGTGTGGAAGGTTGGTGGTGTGCTTGCCGAGATCGCCGTTAAGGGTGTTAAGGCTGGTGGAAGCGTTGAGGTCACCATTAATGTTGCGGGTGATCTTTCGACCACGATCACGGCGAGGGAGGTTGGCGGTAAGGGTGGTGTCAGGGGTAACTTGGAGGCACCCCAGTAGGGGGCTAGATGGAGGTGTGATATTTGTATAGGGGTGTAGATGATAGACGAATTGGAGCTTAGACGTGATGAATTTACGGTCAGGGTCGATAGTTTTGCACAGTCTGGACTGCACAGTTGGAGAATAAAATTGGAGATTTTACTGTTAGAAGATGTGTTGGTTGGTGACGAGTCTTTGCGTTTGAGGAGGATCTAGATGATCGCAACAGATGGTATAAAGTTGTGTGGCACCACGATAGCATTTGAATTCCCGGTCCAGTTCGTAACCATAGCTGACACAAAGGGGACATGTCCTGGAGTCCGTCGAATGGGGTGAATCCGGCCCAGAGTATGCAAAAGCCCTCGCCAAAAAGAGTATCAACAACACCCAAGCCCTCCCCTTTCTCACCGCCGCTCCCTTTCTCACCGTTGCCCCTTTCTCGCTGTCGCCCTTTTCTCACCGTCGCCCACATTCTTACCATCGCCCCTCTTACTCCCACCCCCTATTACCACCGCCCCATAGCGCTTATTTACGAATTTTTAAATTCAGCTACTTGCAACCCCGTTCCAATAGCCCGTTGGACGTGTTGATCTAGAGTTGCCGACACGCACTCCTTCCAATGTTTCACAAAAAGTGCTTGCGCATATGCCGACGCAGATTCAATATCGCTGAGACACTATATAATATATTTCTTCACTGGCATGGGCACCAGTGCGAAGTCGATGGCCACAGACTATCTGACAAATTGAATGTGATCACACATGTCTAACAGCAGAAACGCGGCCGTGGAGGGAGGGCCATGAAGTGGAATTTGGCTGGCGATGGGAGTGGGCTGGCGTGACAACACACGAGACATGGCAAACGGGAATAACGCGTAACTTGTAAACAATCTCGACACCACACAGAACGAGGCGAATATGACGGGAAATAGGCGACAACTGGCTAACGATAAAATACGATAATAATCAGCTTGAATTGGGACTTGGCTATGCTACTGGAGAATGGGAGTCTGGGTGGTTGTTGGGTCATGGCAAATAGCAATAATTCGTAAATTTAAAATAAATTCAGTTTCGGAGTGTATTTATTAAAATGCGTGATGACTTCGTAAATATAAAATAAACTCAGTCTCAGAAATCACTTATTAAAATGCGTGAAGACTCAAATGGTAAATTTAAAATAAATTCAGTCCTAGAAATAAATAAGTTACTTTAAAAAGGGTTAACTATAACTATAATAAATTGCGAGAAGCTGCCAGAATCCGAATATATTGCTGGCGCCCACATACTTACTTACGCCTTTGACCAAGTCTATTAATCGTTGGCAGAAATAAATCGTAAAAAAACTCAGTCTCAGAAATCACTGATTAAAATCTACGACGACTATACTTAAAATAAATTGTGAGAAACTGCCAAAGTTCGAATATATCGCTGGCCCGTATAATCTATTCCATTTTGACCAAGTCAAGCATCGTTGACAAAAATACGAGGATCCAAATTTTGAATGATATCTACATCTCCAAGGCGTGTGGCAGGCACTGGAGCACCCCTTCCATTCCTCACCCCGTCCTCTCCCCAACAAACCCCCTCTAAATCCAAAAAGTTAACGCACACAAAAGTGAGAAACTCAAAAAGTAAACTCCCTCGGGTGGGCTCGAACCACCAACCTCTCGATATCAGAAGACTTAAAGAACTCTGGTAACAGTCGAACGCGCTAGCCAATTGCGCCACGAGGGACTTTCTTGCTTGTCTGACTGTCTTCTAAAACCAGTTTATGTACTGGAACCCGTTGTGGGCCGATAGGGCACGAAGAGTTTTCATATCTCATTTTCCCGAAATAGCGCGGTTTACTAGTGTGGTTTGTGGTTGCGGGGCCGGGTGCGCTAGTGATTGGGTAAAAATAACTTAGCGCGGAGCGCACGTGATGTACATATACCTGAATAAAAATAGCTTGGCGTGAGAGCACGTGATAAAGCTACCGTACTACGATTGTTATCTATGTACGTGACGTCTATACTTGAATAGAGACTGTACTACAATTAGAGACTGGCAAGTTTACGGCAAAATCGAAGCCATGTTAAATAATATACTGGAGTAAATTTCTGTGGACGAAACAAAGAAGTGGGAAGATCGTAGAGTACAGTCAACCCTCAGCCTCGCCATCGATAGGCTGCACTTTTCCCTTTTGGGCACTGAAGGCTACCATCGTCCAAACCTTTGCAACTCCCATTCATGAGATAACGGCGACTTCAACATGGGAAAGAGCAAGCGCGATGGCGCGTCTCTGGACTATGACGAGCCTTCCAAGCGCCCGCGACACTCTGGCAATGCCCCGCCAAAAGAAGGGACCCAAGGCCGTATCGATCCGACCTATGGCCAGAGGAGTGCCTTCCCTGGACTCGACGACGAGGGTGGATATGCCGCTGAGGATGACGACCTCGACTACGGCGATGATGCCGGGGCTATAAGCTATTTGAGGGCTGTCAGGTATGTTCATTTGCGTTATCCCCATTGCGACAGTTCATGCTAACCCTGCTGGTTATAGGTCCGAGGCTGCTGGAATACCGACTGTTCTCGTCGCACCTAGACCCATACTCGAAGGAGATGAAGAAGAGGATAGAACTCTCTACGACGACGGAGTGGGCGATAGTCGCGGCTTCTACTCGGACGGTGCATATACCGCCGCGCCAGATCCACAACCTGACACTCCCGATATCCCAGCCGCGAAGCACCTGCGGGCCAAGTACTTCAAAAAGATCCTCGAGCGTTTCGAACACCTACGCGAGCAGCTGGGCAACACCCCTCCAGACGACGTCGTCGAAAAACTTGACCAGAACCACGACTCGTACATGTCCGCATCTGCTCCGGATTATAGGAAGTGGAGGTGGAGGGTCATCAATACGGAGCCAATGAACGCACAACTGGCGAGGATGGATAGGGCTACATCGCTCAAGTTGCTAAGACTATTGACCAACGACAAGCTTGCGATGGGCGGGAGCACAATTCCTACCGAGAGGCTGAGCAGGTGGATTTGGGGGGTGCTGGCGAGACTACCGGACAGTGGAGAGTTGAACAGCGAGGAGATTGGGTTGGTGAGGGATTTGGGCAAGAGAGCTGTGTGGTTGGGCGTTGTGATGAATCAGCCCCAGTCGGATACGGCAGCGGGGATGCCGGGAGATGAGGATAATGAGGGCGGGGAAGAATATGAGGATGACGAAGAAGATAGAGAGGTAGGAAATGAGTTTCCTATCTCAAAACCCGAAGAGAATGGCGCACCGGAGAAGGCAGTTGAAGATAGGACAGAGATGGGAGCCCATGAGCCACACGTTAATGCTCCAGCGGTCCCACGGTATAATATATTTCGGTTCGGTCCACCGGCCACGGACTCAGACGCTATAAATGCCACTCTGGCAAAGGCTGTGCTCGAGGATTCTTTCTGGGGAGACACGCCGATGCACATTCGGACACAGTTTAATATCGACATCGATGGTCCAATAGTGGCCTATAAAGGACACCTACCAAACCCAGAGATCTATAGTTTCTTTCGTTTCGGCCACGAGGATCAGCTTACCGAAGAACAATTGGGAGCTAGAGAGCGACTTCGCAACTTCTACAGACGGAATCGGGGATATGCGCGCTCCAATTTACTGTTTTATTACCTGAGAAACCGTTTGGCGGAACAATACGACGGACCACTGCCACCAGCAAAGCAGGTTAGTCGCAATTGGGGATACGATTATGCAGAATTTTTACGCCAGAACCCGGATTATCCACAATTTCCAGACTATCTCAATGACGAACCACGAAACACTCCAGGTGTCAAATTTGGCGACGAAGCTTTTGACAGAGCCTGGCAGGCTGCTGGCCTTGATACTCCGCAAACTAGGGTATATGACGACGGCCAAGACGAAAAAGAAGAAATCGCAATGGCAAAACTGGGTCTAGCTGCTGGTAGGGACCGTCGCCCAGCTGTCGTCGCAGAGCCCAAGCCTGAAGAGAAGGATGAAGAGGAGACGTTAGAAATAGCGCGTAATCGCATTCTTTCACAGCTTGCAGGAGCTGGCGATGCAAACGCTGCTGAACTGGCTCGGGCACGGGACGCTTTGAAGGAACAGGAGCTTAAGGAGCGAGCTCGTGAAGAGGATGAAGATGCAGCGAGACTGCTGAATGCAAAGGCGACAGTGGACATGATAATCACGGTAGCGGGCGAAATATATGGACAAAGAGATCTGTTGGAGTTCAGGGAGACATGGGATTAGCGTTTATGGGGAATTATATAGTATTGTCTAGTCTAATGTAATAATAGACAGAGCTAAGAATGTGTAACTTAGCAACTAGCTGTTGCTACACAACCGAATACGGCTGGCATGGTAATCACAACACTATTTCTCATCGGCGAACTCAGCCTCGTCATAAGAATACCCTTGCTTCTTCAATGCCCACTTGACCGCCGCCTGCACGTTATCCACAATCATCTTCGGCTCATACTTTGGTGGATTACCCTCCTGCCACACCCCCGTCTTCACCAAAATGCTATCCCAGCTCGTCCCAGTCGGGCTCTTGAAATTATTCGCACCCCTGATATCGCTCTCCGGGTTGTCCCCAATCATAAACACCTGTTTGAGATCCCCCACTTCCTCGTGGAGAGTACTCAGGATCTCGACTCTATGCTTCTGGAGCACGCGCTCCGAATACAGATACGTCTCCTGCGTAGGCTTCCCCATGACGAGCTTGGTCAGCTCCGCGCCGTCAGTAACCTCATCCCACACGCCCTGAAACGCGGCGCGGAAGCCGCCCTGGCCGAGTCGCGAAAGCGGGTGCGAGGTGGCCCAGAACAAATCTGGGTTGCTGAAGATGAGCTTTGGCTGGCCGTCCTGCAGCCAGCCGTTGTTGGGGAGCGACTTGTCCCCGTTCTTGGCGGAGTAAGTGTTCAGCTCGCCTTTGGAGGAGAGTAGAAGGTCCAGTATGATTTGGGTATCAAGTGCCCAGTCGTGGGGATCGGAAAACACGAATATGGCGTCGATCTTGAGAGGTCCGGGAGGGAGCGGCTGGGCGATAGAGGAATAGTGCGAGGCGTGAAGAGCGGCGAAGGGCCAAATGTTTGGATGCGCGGTAAGGATATCTCCTGGAGTCACAACATTCTTGAAGCCGTATCTGTGGGCAATATCCCTAACTCGTTGTTGATCGGTTCCGGTGACGAAAATCGTCTTGTCTTTCAGCGCCTCGTAGTCGTTGCTGCCGTCAACCATATCCTGAAACGGCGTGTGGCTCTGCACAAAGTTCTCTAGGCTTAATGGAATATCGAATCTTGAGCTTAACTCGGCGACACGCTCCGTTTCGTGCTTGCCGCCGCCATTGGTCAGGAGGATGAAGGGAATCGAGTGTCTATTCAGAAATCGCAGGGTCGAGGAGGCACCTGGTAGGCTTTTGGAAGAACGGAGGAGAACGCCATCAATATCAAAGGCAAATGCAAAGTCTGGAGGCGCTGGCACCGAGGTATTATTATCTTGTGGTGTCGACTGGTGGCGGAACTGCCGTGCATGTCGCCGGTACGTTGTGATGGCGGGGGATGCTGAGGCACCAGAGCGGAGGACTGGGCGGGCCCATGATGCTTGCAAGATTGGCCGGGCAAAGTTAGAAGAGCCAAGAGCTCTTGGAATAAGTAAAGGCTTCATGATCTACCGCAGTTTTGACAATGAAGACGGGTTTGGGTGTCAACGAGAAGGGCAGGAACGCGATGGTCCCTGTCCCTGAAACAGCCCGAGTGGCTTGGAGCTAAGATAAGATAACGATCTATGGCTATCAACGGCATGACGTAGGAGCGAGGGGTTTGACAACCAAAAAATGTCATTACGCTGCTACACTGCCTGCCAGCTGAATATATTCTGAATACATTCTGATAGTATGTTCGAATAGTAATCTTTTTGCATCTGTTAACGTCTAATGGGTCTTCGGGTAGGCCACTGGAGCTCCCAATATGATTTTGCTAACACTCACACACAACCAGCACGGAAAATTGTTTTGCCGGAATGCATCATAGATTCAACGACGCTTGAATCGTCAAGAGCTTCCCAAGTCGGCGCGCAACACTTTTTCATGTCTTACACCAATTACACCTTCAGGTGAAGCCACCGGATCTCAATAATGTTTGGCTGCTCAGGAAACTCGCCGTGAGCGGCAACATTTGACTGAACCTCGGTTGCACCGTGTGATTGGAACTCCATCTCGGGACAATGGCCCTAGATGCCCAAAGCAACTGGGATGTTGAGATGCCACAATTGCGACTGGGTGCGACTGGGAAAGAGGAAAAACTTCCGTCAATGAGCCCCCCTCAACCGGCCTTGGTCGCAACCTCGGCGCCTGGAAAAGAGATAGAGCTGCCCCTCGAGGTATTGATCCAGATTGTCTCGTACATCCCGCGTCGACAACAATACCAGAAAACGTTATGGGCATGCTGCCTTGTATCTCGTGCCTGGTACTCAGCAGCAATTATGTTCCTCTATGAACGACCACATATCGGAGGCGGCAACTTTCAAGAATTCGTCGCGACCATATGTCCATCCAAAAACGCCCACATTCGGAAGAGCCAGTTGGCAGGTATGGTCAAGATCCTAGACATGGGCACACTTGTACACGATGGTAGCAAAAGCTTGACGGCACGACTCCTTGGCAGGCTAAAAGGCAGCCTCGAGGAGTTCGTTGCTCCCCAGGCGTCCTTCTCGATAAATTCTTTCGCA